CCCAGCCCTATTTTAAGCTGCCAGTAAACTCTGTCAGAAATGCATGTCCGATGGTCAGATAGCTTCAGAAAACAATTCTGTGTCCCACTATTTCTGTAACTTTCCAAAACTGAAAAATCCGACAATCACCCTCACTTCACGCTGTGATTGGCCAGCTGTGTGGAGTTGAGGAAGGAGCGAGGGTTCAACCTTCTCTCACAAACTCTCGTTTCTTATCCTTACATAACTGCTTTTCTTACTTTTCATGTCAACAACCGAGAGCAACACCATGAATGTGGTTGGACAGCTTGTCTTACAAACCTGTTCTGTTAGAGCATAACCCTACACCCTAAAATCAGTGGAGATTTGAAGTGGAGCTAAGAAGAAAAAGACATCATACATTTCATACAAGAAGCAGCTAACTTCCCCCCCAGTATTTTCTTTCCCAATTCCCCTATTTCCCTACTCCTCATGTCCTGTTTCTCAATCTGACTTCTCCAAGTATGAATATATTTCACAGGTTTTTTCCTCTTCTCTCCCTTCTGTTTCAGTAAGGTCAGGAGCATAACAAAGAGGCACCGTGGCCCCCAAATATAAACACACGTATACGTGCACGCCCACATGCATATATATACATGCACAAGCACACGCACGATGAGAAGCGTAGATGTCGCGAGGTCAAATTTCTCCCTGCTGCTTCACACCTACCCAGCATGTCCACAAGAGTTAATCCTTCACACACTCTAATCCTCACGCTCCGTGTGTATGCGCGTATGTGCGTGTACGCATGAGTGTGTGTTGAGAAATGTGGTGGTCAGACAGGCCATTACCTTTCGTCTCTCTCTCTCTGGGTTGAAGGTTCCCAACCATGACTGCATCTGTGCAGAAAAGACACAAAATGGAAAGAAAAGATCAGGGCAGTTACTTTGCGCCAAAAGAAAAAAAAACAGAATAGTGATCTCAACATTTAAATCAGTTAGTTTTTGCTAGAGAGGAGTGGCCTTAGGTCTAGAGGTCGGTGCCTGCAGTGACAAGTGAGTATCACACCAATGCAAAATCCCTCCATCTCCTCACCCGTCCCTGCAAAATTGCCTGATTCCCAGCAGAGTGCAGAGCTTAGAGGCCGAGGGGAGCACTTAAAACGGCTCCCAGAATCTCACACAAGAGGGAACTGATCAGCTTCAGCGCACACAATATGACATGAGGAAGAAGAAGAAAAGGCAAAGGGTATAGAGAGAGGGGAGAATATTTTAGAAGAAGTGTTAAAAGAAAATGGAAAAAGTGGAGCAAACATGGCAGATCTGAGATCTCCAGAGAGAACGTGGGAATACTTTTTGCTCTTCCTCTGTCTCCTCTCTCAGGGGAACGCAGGGAAAATGTCAACAGACACGCGCAGGGACACGCACACATTCACATGCACAAGACTGGGATTTTTAATGGTGGGATGGGGGGGGGGCCGTAGGAAGCCAGAAGGTTTATGTAACCCAAGACATCAGAGACAAATCTCTGGAGGCCCAGTGTGAGCTCCACACGCACGCATAAACAGGCAGCGTGAACGATACACACTAACAGCTCTTCTGTTCTGCTATTTATTAACTCAATGTTGCCATGGTTTCTCTGCGCTGACGTGACTGTCATTGTAAATCTATGTGGTGACCATGGTGTGTTTGTGCAGAGCAAAAAAATGGATAGCCATTTGGTTTGACTGAACTTGTTCCAGAGCAGCCCTTTGTTGTACAGCTGAACGCCACTATCTATCAAAATCAACAAACACTGATAATAAGTGGCAATTTCATTAGGCTTCAGCCATCTCCACTGCGCGTACCTGGCTTTTGTTGCAATCCCTCTTAAGCCGCGCCACCAAAAGTCATGCAATTCAGCCAGTTAAGTGTTGAGGCGTGAGGCTTAGGAGGGAAGGAGTGTGCATCTACAGATCACATCCATTAAACAAACACACCACCACACTCCCAGATCTCTCTGTCTGGCCTGATAATGACTCATTAGCTTTCAAATCCCCCAAGTTAGTATGAGCTCACACAGTCACATAGTATATGTCCATGTTTTTCTAAATAATCCTGGTGTAAACGACTTGGACTTGGTAAACTAATGAGCTTCAGAGTCATTTTCACCCACGATCCTCCCTCTCTCCCTGGTCCGTTTCTGGAAAGCGGAGGAACTTCTCCGTCCAGCTAACATCCCACCTCTCTTCACTCAGCCTTCTCGTCTTTATCCCTTTTTCCCCCGTTGCGTCGCCACCTACCCTGCTTTCAAAGCTTTTGAAATTCTTTCAAGTGAGACAGCCTGCAGCTGAAAAGAGATAAGGCTTGAGCTCTTCATAAATATGATAGAGAAAGCAAAACGGCAGAGAGAAGGGGGAGAGAGACATAGAGGCAGAAAGGAAAAGAGGGGGGGGTAGAGAGAGAGAGAGAGAGAGAGAGAGAGAGAGAGAGAGAGAGAGACGGAGGTGGAAAGGGAAAGAGAGGGAGAAAGAAAACGAGAAAGGTGGAAAACAGAGATAGAGAGAGAGACAGGTTGAAGGAGAGACAGCTGAATACTGTGAGCTGAATGAGTTATGAGATGCAGATTGCAAACCAGCTACATTCATTCATTCTCTTTATCACATTCATGATAAAGAGCTGTGTAGCCTCTTTTCCTTTCCCTTCGCTTCAGCTACCTGCTGTCTGTCTCCGATGTCGTCTGTCTGCAGCCCCGGCTATCTTTAAATCTGTCTCACCGTCCCCATTGTTCACTCTGCCACCCAAACAAAGAACGCCAACATTCACGATGACAATTGATTCATCAAATGCAAAAAGAGAGTAAGGGAGAGTCAGGCTAAATCTGCATCAGGAACCCACACACATAGTGCTGCAATACAAGTGTGCCAGCACCCTTCCACCAGCACTACGGCCACATTGTGTGTGTTGTCGTCAGATCAGGGGAATGGCAGCTATGTGAACTTTGTGGAATGCTGCCTCTGGTCTCCTACAGCACCCTTACAATAGAAAAGCACAGAACTACGAACCAACATGGAGAGGGGATCAACTTGCAAATTGCACTACGGTAAATGTTAGCGTGAGCGATAAATACGATGGACAAAAGTTTGAAAATAAGACCCAAGTTGTAATAAACCAGATTTACACTTCAAATGATTACTGATGATTGGAGCAGCATTATTTCATTACTGCATTATATGTATTGATGCATTTCTCAGGATCTCCACAGATTAGTGTCATTTCATTCGATGCCAACATAATATAAATACTCAATTCTTTAACCCTATTACCCTATTTTTTTTTTACTCTATTTTTTACAGTATTCCTCCCAAGCACAGAAATATGAGAACACACAAACAGCAATCCTGTCTGAGTGCTCGGAGATGTCAGCTTTCACTAATGTCACTTTTCTAAAAGGTCACAACGCATTTGGATTCAGCCAAATTGCCTGTGTCTTGGGCTGCTGCTGCTGCTGCTGACTGGACGCATGTTGAGCACTCACCCTCTCATTGGCCACGCAGATGATCCTGGCGTAGCAGCAGATCATCAGGAAGATGAGGCTGAACAGAGGCACGTACCATCTGCAAAGCGAAAATACAAGCCGGCAGTAAGAAATCTCCAAATGAGCAATGATATTAAAAGATCATTCCTGTTGTTTTTCCTGTGATGGTTTTCGTTTTTTTGGCCTCTTTGTAGTCCTGCTTTAGGAGGAGGGACACTGGGTTTTGGAGTACTTTTTAGGCCAAAAGAGTTTATATTTTGAAAGACTGTGATGGACAGATTAGACCACGGAACGTCCTAAGTTCCTCTGCAGGACTGTAATCTGAGAAGGCCATTGTTGTGAGATATGATTTGATGTAGAACTGGACAAAAGCTTGTTCTGATCTTGTGTTTCACTTCTAGCAAAATAATTGTTATTCTGCCATTTTAAAACTTGTTGAAAGAGTCATAGTGAGCACCACTAAACTAATCTGCACATTTAAGTATATTATGAATAGGTGAGGATGTTCAGCTGGCGGACGCTGTACAGCATTTTTCTAAACAGCTGATGTATAGAAGACACACAGCACGTTCATAAACAGCACAGTGAAATAGGCCTGACTCAGCTCTTCTGGACCTTAATGCACATAGTTTCAGTGAGTAGAGAGAGAAAGAGGGAGACAAAGAACCAGAGATAATGCCTCCAAAGTCACAATACCGGAAATGCATGGCATTCCTATGGGATGAAGGGTTGACAATCAAGGGAGGCACGGGTGGAGAATAATAACATGTCAGGTATTTCTGAGTGGATGAAAGAGAGCGAGACGAGCGAGGGAAACGGGGTGATGGCTTTGTAGGAATGGCAGCCTTGTGTTGCGCAACCTCTTGGGAGGTGATGTAAGCTCCGAGGAGTTTCAACCCCTCCCTGTAATCATGAAGCAGGGCCTTTGTCTCGCTTTGATAGACAGGTTCCTGGCCATCACGTCTCTGTTCAGCTTCAGTAACTCTGAGCAGAAGAGACTGTGTGGTGCGACAGCCAAGTCCTCCCGAGCACCTGGCACAGGCTGGGAGGCAGTGGCCAAACACACCTATGTGATAAACATACTGGATTGTGAAAAGGAAGAACATCAAGAGTAATTATAGGTCTAACTATGATCCAGAAGGAAAAAAAAGTTGACACTCAAAACAGAGAGACTGAATCTGTGTCTGACCCATAAATACAGGCACACATGGTTTCAAAGGAAAATGAATTGGGAATAAATGTCCATCACTGTGCCTGAAAAGTCCTTGGCATGTGTGCTAAAAAACTGCGACATGCGAATATTAGGTCCTTGGCCTAATTTAACTTGGTCCACACTTGTCTTCTAAGCCTGCGGGTCAAAAAAAAATAAGTCTGATCAAATTAAACTTTTTATTGGCAGGGGAATCCGGGATGGTAGGCGTTGATTTCACGACAGAATACAGGGAAAGGGAATGGCCACTTTACACACATGTTCCTTTACACACAAAGAATACCCTCTTTGAAACGTGTGTGTGTAAGTGCACGTGTATGTGCACGTCTGCGCAGGTTCAATAATGGCATGGGACAATGATGAAAGTGTTTCAGGGGAGACCTGCGCGAACGTCACCTCGGTGTGATTTAATAACCCGCTCTCCGGAATAAACAGCGTCCAATTACACTAGCGCACGTCCCGTTAATGATGGAGAGACGAGGTGGGGGGTGGGCGAGTTGGCGGAGAGGGGAAAGGAGGGGGTGGCCTTTTTAACGATAGCGTGGGGGGGCTGCGAGGAGGAGAGAATGACGGGCGGCAGCTACAAAGTGCTCTAATTAGCATGATAATGATCTGCCATTAGAGTCCGCTGTGCTCTACAGCTGAGCACTACCCGGAGAGAGAGCGACAGCAAGAGGGAGACAGGAGGGAAAGAATGAGAGAGAGAGAGAGAGAGAGAATGAAATGGAGGCAGAGAGAGAGAAGATGCGGAGCGGGCAGAGGATGATAAAAGTGAAGACAAGAATAGAGGTGAGGATAGAAAGGAGGATGGATGATAGCAGATTGTGGGTCAGGACAAGAAAGAGCAGAAATAAGAAAGAAGCATCGGGTGATTAAAAGACAGGGACAGGGATAAGGTCATAGTGAGAATGAAAGGAATACCAGAAAGAGGCTGCAGCCAATAGATCGACTAGGGAATGATGGATAGAAAGACGGATAACCACAGAGGGGTTTTGAGAGGACAACAGTGTGCGAGGGTGGAAGCCTGAAACTGGCAGAAAGAAAGATCATCACAGACGCACACAGATTCAATCTCTCCGCCTCAGCCTTGCCTTCCCTCCAGTACCGCTCTGAAGTGAAGAATGAGGCTTGGATGAAAGAAGCTGTAATTGAAGTGCTTGGTGGGAGATGAGAGTACGGTAGGGACCCGTCTGTGCTGGTTAGTGCTCAGCTGCAGCCGTCAACTTTGACCAACAAGATCCTGCCACTGAGTGTAAAATTACGATCTACCTGTTCAACCACTTAGACAGGGACAGGACAACCCAAGAGGCAGAAAGAGAGGAGGAGACACAAAGACCAGGGAGGGCAGGGTGTGTATCACCAAATGCACTAATGTAAAAGTATGCTAAGAGTCTGCAGCCATAGTAGTGGCTCTTTGAGGTTCTATGTTTTTTTTGTTTGTGTTTGACAGGGCAGGTGAAGATAGACGAGAAAGGGGGGAGAGAGAGAGAGAGAGAGAGAGGAGGAACACATGCAGCAAAGGGCCCTAGGTTGAAATCGAATCAGGAGAGCTACCCTGCAGCCCTGTGAGGCTGTACTTAAGAGCTAAACGCTAACGTCAATATACTTACAATGACAATGTTAACATGATGATGTTTAGCAGGTATAGTGTTTACTATGTTTACCATCCCAATAGTGTGTTTTGCTAATGATCACTAAACACAAAGTACAGTTGAGACTGACTAGAATGTCATTAGTATTGCAGGGTATTAGACAAATGAATATTTGACCCGATAATGGTGTTGGATAAAAAGTTTGGGGGTCACCAAATTTAAATGAATCCTGAGCGAGTACATGCACGTGTGACCCAATTTTCATGACAATCCACAGAAAAGCTGTCAAGGCATTTCACTAACAAGCCATAGCGGTTCAGTGCGTTCTAATGGCCTTAAGGTCCAAACAACAATGCCCCAAGCGTGAATCCATCCAGGGACCTTTGTGCATGTCATTGTCTTTACTGTGAATTACCTAGTAAAAGTACAACATTCCTAAAAAGATTATTATAAAAATACAAAAATGACATTTTTATGATACATCTTCTGGGAACCATGAATGTCAAAATACCGTGCCAGTCCTTCTCTCAGATGTTGAGATGTTTCACTGAATAAGTGAAAACTATGACCTGCTGGTGGTGCTATACAAAAAGTCAGTTGACTAGCATTCATTAAGATTCATCCTCTGGGCACCATGAATGTCTGCAATAAATGTAATGGTAATCCATCCAAGTCATTAGAAACCAAAAATGTCAAATGGTGGTGGTGCTGGAGGAAAGGTCAGGTCACCAAAGTCAATAGGATTCATCCTCTGGGCACCATGAATGCCTGTACAAAATATAATGACAATCCATCCAATCAACGTTGAGATATTCAATCTGGACCGACATGGTGGACGGACGGACTGACCAACCGACTACCATCCCCAGATATTGCTAGTTAACTAAAAGTACCCTAGTAATTATAAGCTTCCAGTTTTGGATGTAATTTCCCAGTTTTTCCGTGTTATGTCTGACCAGGGCCCATGAAACACACCAATGGGGACCTCTAAGAGCGGTGACTCAGCTAAGCTTGAGTGCTTCCAACTGCTGACTCAACCCCTGAAATTCTGCACCTCCGTCACAAAACGCTGTCCTCTGCTTTTCATTCTCCTTCCTCTTTCATCCCCTTTCACACCGTCCTCCTCCGAGCCTCCCCCGCCTCCTCTGTCCTGTCTGCGCGCTTCGCTGAACTCTGATGAAGACACACTACGGGGCGTGGGCAGAGACGAGGGCAATCTATTTCTCTCACTCTCCTCTTCTTCGTGTCCCGCTATGCCGCCCCTCTTTCCTTCTCCCGCTGAGTAATTCCCTGTCTCTCTAACTGTACCCCTTATGTCTCCCCTCCCGCCTTTTCCACTTTTCACCTTTAATACTAAAACCGCTGCTCTCCTGCGCCTTTCCCAGCAAGCTGTCAGCAGGGTGTGTGCGTTTGAGCCTATGTGTTTTTTTCTTGACGGGTGCTGCAGCCTCGGCCTCTAATCTCTCGTCTGGTTTGATGTAATTAGAGCTAATGAAGATTCCCTGATCCTCTGAGTAGCTCGTCCCCCTGGGCCATGACAGCATGGAAAACTAGAAAGAGCCGGGGAGCAGAGGAGCACTGATAAAAGAGACACGGGCTCGTTTAGCACAGCTGATAGCTATGTGTTGTTCCGCATGCGCGTGTGAGTGTTTGTCTGCGTGAGTCTGTCTGTGTGTGTGCATGCTTATTTGTTTAGAAAGATTGATTCCCTGCTGATGCTGCGAGCAGAAACGCGATTACCTTGGCTCACAGCGAAGTGTTGTGTGCATGTGCGTGTGTGTGTGGTTAAGCGTCTGCGCTGGGGATTGGCAGAGCCCTTGCAGACTTAGGGCCAGTTGCAGAAAGCAGTAGACAGGCATAATCCTTCATAGCCGTCCTAAACACTTAAATACACAGAGTAGCAACTCCCCTAAATCTGACAAGGCAGAGGCAGACACAGGCACATCCATGTGTGCTCACACACACACACACACACACACACACACGCACACGCACACGCACGCGCACGCGCACACACACATATCTTGGCCTTACACCAAGAGGGAAAAAACCCCGCAGGCTCCCCTGACATGCAACCCTTCACATTTCCCCGCAGAGACAGCCCTCCTCCCTGCTCCTCCTCCCCATCTCCCCCCAGTGGGGGAAGCTTTGATGCCGGCGCTGAAAGGGTCTACTTACATCCCAAATCTCCAGGCTACGTGATCGTCTGTGATCCAGCTGGGGGAAGAGAGAGAGAGAGAGAGAGAGAGATAGAGTGAGAGAGAGCGATGAGGGGGTTACAAAGGAAAGGGAGAGCGGAAGAGAGACTTGTGTGACTGCGGAGGGGAAAAGCTGTGCAGCTGTAGCTATTAATAAGCCGAGAGTGGAAAGAGAGAGCCGAGCCCGGAGATTAAGGCTCTGTCCCAATTCTCATTCCACCGCCTCCTCTCCTCGGCCTCTTCCCCTTTTCCTCACCCCTTTAACTACCCTCCAAACAAATAATGCCTTTCCTATTCACCACAAGAACTGGAGAGTCTGAGGGGGCGTTTTACTGCTCAAAGATGTGCTGATAATTGCCAATTTTGATCACATAAAATCTTATGAGAGAAAGAGCCTGTGTGGAGCTGGAATGAGGCCAGCACTGTGGCCCTCCTTGAAAGGAAAGACATTTAACAGAAAATATGCTGTCGCTGGCTGCAAAAAAAAAAAACACATAAAAATGATGCTGTAGCCGGACAGTTGGCTGTACTCACCACCAGGCTCCTGCGGGGCCATAGTAACCCTTTAGCAGCGGCAAAGAGGCCATGACCAGAGGCACCCCCCACGCCATCAGATGGTACAACCTAATAAAAGGCAGACATTTATTTCATTATGAGCGCCATGACCGGGGAGCTTTGCCCCTGAGAAAAAACCCTATAACTAAATCAATTCTTTTCTTCTTCAGTTCATCCCTCTGTTGGCACTCACATCAGGGTCATTTTTCAGGTGCAGGCAAATGCCTATACAGCCAGACTGCCAATTACTCATGGTAATATAAACCATAATTACCCTCAACGTTGTGGAAAAGATGATTTGCAGATGGAGATGTCTGCATCAAAACCACAAACAGGATGCAGATTGTCACTGAGCGGGTGCTGGTGACTACAAAATTTGAGGACACAGCTGTCTAAACTGTGTGCGGAAAAAATTTGTTTTTTTAACTTAATTGCACAAACAGCCTATTTTTAAAGGAAAGGGGTTAAGAAACCTGAAGATGATTCTTACTGGTTATTACTGAAAAATGATCATTGGCAACGTTCTAATACGTTTTAAAAATCTCAAGCGCAGAACATTGCTCTCTGTGTGTGTGTGTGTGTGTGTGTGTGTGTGTGTGTGTGTGTGTGTGTGTGCCAGACAGACGAGGTGTGTGCTCCAGTGTCTTGGGCCTTGGTGTGGGCGTCGATACTTTATAGAGCGTACAGCGTCGCCCGGTCAATTGAGTGGAAGTCCTGCCCTGACTTGTTCCAAGTGTGGTCAATCGAGCGGCGGCGACACAGCTGACACACACTCAATCCCTCTCGAGTTGTGCGCCACAGACACACACACATACACACACACTCTAACACAAGCTTTCTCGCTCTTATTTCGCCAGGGCACACTGTACCCCCCCCCCCCCAATCTGATGGACAGCAGCAGTGTGCGAGCGTGTGGGAGGTGGCAGAGAAAGAGAGATGGCTGGTGGTTTAAATAGAACAGAATGGTGGGTGGGAAAGAGACATTGGGAATGTATAGATCCAAAGAGAGAGAGTGTTTAGATCAAACACAATAGGGAGTGTGAGAGAAAGAGAAAACAAGGGATAAAGAAGAGAAAAAGGAAACAGTAAAAGCGCTAAAAAAGAGAAAGCAATCATGCAACTGAGCGAGTAAAGGAGCAAAAGAGAGAGTAAGGGAGGGAGAGCGAAAAAGAGACACACAAAGAAGGAGAGGGAGAGAGAGGAGGGGGAGATTGAGAGAGAGAGAGAGAGAGAGAGAGAGAGAGAAGAAGAGTGTCTGTGTGGTGGTGGGAGGAGAGATACAAATGGTGAAATCAGTGCTGCCAGTCCGTGGCGTGACGATTGGTGCTGCGGGGGGGGGCTTGTCAGGAAATCAATGTCGAGAGCTCGCAGCCCCACACACAGACACACACACAGACCATGCTGCAGCACATACCCCACACACTCGCAGCGCTTTGAGAAGGAGATGACGAGGTCCGGAGCTGTGCGCAACATGGGCTTAATGAGGCACAGCAGGACTGCTATGCGCTCTGCATTTCACACACCTGCACACACACCCACACACGTGCACACCTCATATAGAAATCTCTCTTGAGGCTCAATCTCATTTCTCGCCGTCTCACACCACTCGCCCGAATCCGTCCTTCAAACACACATAAACATGCATGCACACACAAACGCACTTCCCATACTCTCTTGCATCCACTTCAATCACTCTTAGATCATCCAGCCTCCGTTCTCCATCTCCTCTGGCGATTTGTTCATTTATAAACCATCACACTGTGCGTCACTCTGTGTGTGTGCGTGAGTGCGTGTGAGAGAGAGAGAGAGAGAGAGAGAGAGAGAGAGAGAGAGAGAGAGAGAGAGAGAGAGAGAGAGACACAGAGAGAGGGGATTGGAGGTTGGGTAAGGGGGCTGAGGGGTAATTGTGCATGCATCCAAAGCCACATACCCGCCCGCCTAAACACACACAGCTTATCTATGCACAGTCAATACATGACAACCCCCCTGACACCCTGTCTTCACTTCGCTTTAACCCATTAAGTGTTGAGTTGGTTTTTTTTTTTGCGTCATGTGTGACCAGCCTCACGCAAAACTAAAGACACATCCTCCTCCCACCTGGTCCCTCTGGACCCTTGAGAGGTATGCAGCTGACAAGGCTCTGAAGCAAGCCGATTTTGGCCCCCTAGCTTGCCCTCTTCCCTGCACCCATAAAGCCGTCTCCCTCTGAGTTATACCACCATTATATCGTCTGGCTTATTGCTAATCAATGCAGGGAAACTCCCATGGGGAGCAGTGGGGGGGCACCTCCCTTTACCGGCCCAACCCCTGACACACCGAAGGGTATGAGGGGTGTGCACACCTAAGCACATCTACAGGACACAACCATGAACAATCGACTTGCAAAACAGAGTTGCCGCTAACTTGTTAAAAGCTTTCTTTTCCGCCCCCACAGAGTGCATACATTTTATTTTTTTTTAGACTATGTGTTTGTGTCACAAAGCTCTGCACTAGGCATGGAAAATGAGAAAATATCTCACACACACACAAGCAAATTCACACTAGCGCTGTGGAGAGTGCTCATGGGAGTTTGAGCGACAGAAACATATAGCCACAAAGCGTGAAGATGGGTGCGCGCGCACACACACACACACACACACACACACACACACACACACACTTAACGGCTGACACTCACTCCCTTTTCAATTAGAGCGTCGGCTGGCTGGAACAGAAAAGGAGGAGGAGGGAGGAGGAGGAGGAGGAGGAGGAGGAGGAGGAGGAGGGGGCTGTCAATGCTCTGCAGGGAGACACATGCTCTGGCAGACCAAACACATGCACATAAACACACACGCAGAGAGAAATGGCCACAACAAAACAAGAGACCAATAACCACTCAAAAGAGGAAACAGAGTTGGAAATAGAGACAACCCGATTGTGCACACGAGGGAGGAACAGTTTCCTTTGAGATTAAATGATTCAAATTTTTTCATTTCAATTCAGTATTGAAGCATTTTTTGAAACAAAAATGCCAATCATTCTCTGGTTCTTGTCTGTCCAACAGGAGGATTTGGGTTTTGGAGTGTGGGTTGGACAAAATAATACCAATCAATAATGGTAATAACTGTTAGCTGCAGCCCCACACTTACTTCTCATATCTGTTGGTGCTTACTTCTCTGACAAGGTTGAGGTACAGGTTCAGGGTGATGAGGCAAACCCAGGCCAAGGCACTCCAGTCTGCAGGGACACGCACACAGAAAAAAAACCAACAAGGTCAAAATTACAACACAGCTCCCCTGCCACACACCACACACCTGCAAACTGTGTGTCCAAACACACATATATGTATGAGAGAGTGTGTGTGTGCGTGCGTGTGTTCCACTTTTTGATAAATGAAGGCATATTCTGCAGTAATATGAGGGAAACCTGTGGCTTAGGGTGATGGATGAGGGGGGGAGCTCAGAGAGAGATAATGATGAACTGTGGAAAAGCAGAGGAAGATAACGCAAGAGTGGGGCAGAGAGAGGAAGAAAAGAAGAGGGGGAAACGCGGTGCGGGGGTGAGGTGAGGGGGGCGGGTTGAACAGAGTGGACTAGAAATGAAGAAAGGGATAGGAAGGCGAAGTCAGCAGAGAGGAAAAAAATGAATGTATTTTACAGAGACAAGGAAGAGAGTGTAGAAAGCTCACTTCCCTTTTTGCCCTCATATTCAGCCCTTTTACTTGTGTGTGTGTATGTGTGTGTGTGTGTGTGTGTGTGTATGTGTGTGTGTGTGTGTGTGTGTGTGTGTGTGTGTGTGTGTGTGTGTGTGTACGTTTATGATGACAAGACGGGCAGGGCTGGTCGTCACAATGATGGATTCTCTGAGCCACATACTCAGCTTACTCAGTTTCACACAACCCCCCCCCCCACACACACACACACAAATATACAAAACACACAAACTCCTTTTACACTGAAGGAACCCTTTAGGAATAGAGAGCAGTGACTAAGAAAGAAGGAGGCCGGCTGTCTATGTCATTATCACAATAAATCACTGTCATTGCCATGGCAAATGCGTCTTGCATAACCAGACAGCAGCCGAAGCTTTGCTTTAACTGACAACGCGCAGCTCTGCTTCCTCACCTGTCCTGACGCTGCTCCCTGCTACCGTCTCCCTCCATTTTCAAACACATTTCATAAAATTTTATAGGTCGAAGTTAAAAGCAGAGCTGCGCTATGCGGCTCCCACTAGACTTGACGCTCCGCAACAGAACAAAGTGCCCGTTCAGCCGGTGTTTATGTACGGCCGTTTGTCCTCGGCGTGAGGATCCTCATGATAAACCGAGGTGACAGGCACCAACCCCTGCAGCACTAACTCACTGCCCATTACCCTGTATCCGTCTGAGTGTGCGTGCCTGTGTGCTTGTGTGTCTGCCTGCGAGAACAATAAAACAAGCATGGTGGATTGTTGTTTTAGCAGTCAGTCCTAACTAAGAAACCTTATGCTAATCAAGCCTGAAGAAGTTTTTGCAACAACGCCAGCAATGCTAAAAAAATAACAATAATAATAATCTTGCCTCATCAGTCTGAAAATTGAGAACCTGTAGATGTGTATGGTTAACCCAAATGAAATGATGGGGCTCTGTACAGTCATTGGAGGAAAGTCATCTCCTCATACAGGGAGTGGTGATGAAACACTGAGGCGTCTGGTTTGAGGGCGGTATATGAACTGCAATGGGCCAATAAGTAAGCAGCATGGTGCTTGACTCCAAAGTATTGCACCATTGTCACGGGTGTGGTATTCTTGGTATGGGTGTGGGAATGCTCCTAAATCTTTAACCAATAAGTTACCACTCTTGGCAGCTGGTGTATGTCCAAATGGCAAGTAAATATCCTGCTCTGTTTTTAGAACTTTGGGATAGGATGCACAGGCTGAGTTGACGAAATGAACGCAATAAAATACAGGAGGATAGGCTATTACACATATAAAACAGTCCCCACATTAAAATTATAGCGATACCACGAGAGAGAATAACCATAAACTCACTGTTAAATGCAACAGAAAGTATATAACCGTCGCTATAATGTACAGTAAGCTGTGAGGAGTTTTAAAAAAGCTGGACTCATCACCAATGTTTGAACCATCATCAGTATTTCTGAGGACTGAATTCTGGCAATAGCTTATCATTTTCAAAGGCTTTCTTGCTCACATTTCCTCCAGAAACAACTCCCCACGTTGCAGTTCTAAAAGCCCTGAGTGAAAGATGGTGCTATAAACTGGAGCGATCATTGTTAAGGCACATTTTGAAACGACAAAGTAATATTATTTTCCACTGTGATATATGATGTTGAATCTTTGCTCTTTCTTTGCTGGCTTGCTCAACTCTATTACTGTTAAAAGTGTATGAGTAATTCATTCACTTTTGTCTTACCAAAGTACGTTAGCCACCAGGCCTGGAAGTCACAAAGCGATCCCTCCGGATGTGACTCACCCTGGGGAAGGAAAGAAAAACGGCATGGGGAAAAACATTTTCACAAACCACCCACAAAAGCCACTATTTGTGTGTTTAATGAAACAGACGAGAGTAACTCACCATGACATATGCTACGCTGTCAAAGAAGGCAGCTACAGTCAGGCTGAGAATCATCTTCTGTACAGCAAAAGTAAGAGGAAGACATGAAGAGGGATTCTCTAACAAAACAGGCCTTAAATATCCCAGTGCATTTATATTCACTTAGAGACAAGGGCAAATTATACATCAAATGATTACTGATGTGGCTGACAGCTTGGCATACGATGTCCCCGGTGACAACTCTGTGAAAATATCACAGAAGAGAGAGTCTCCTTAATTCCTTCGATATAAACTGAAGTCATTATAATTTATATGTAATAAATCAATAAAGTATGGCATTTTGAAAGGGTAGTTGTGATGCATGCCAGCTGTCAGCCTATAGGTGGTTACGAATTGTTGCTGTTGTAGCTATATAAAGAGTAAGATAGATTAACACAAATACACACGCAGCCCTGAATCAATTTGCGTCCAGTGTTGACCCTGCCGAGGATGAGGAGGAAGAGGAGGAGGAGACAGGAGGGCCAGAGAGCATTAAAGAATTTTGACTGATGGATAACCTTTGTGAGGGGATGGAGGTAAGGAGAAGGTTTATGTGGTGCGAGAGGAAGAAGAGGAGGAGGAAGAGCAGGAGGAGGTAACACCACCTGGATCCGGAGGTAACAGGATCCCTCAGAGCCCTACGTTAAAGCTGTCATTTACTTCAGACTAGGACAAGATAATGTGGAACGCCGCTAAACCTGACGGACCTGCTGGACTGGCTTCAAAAACACAGCACAGGCTGCACACTCAAACACACTCTGATTCTTTCAGATAAAGGAAAACATACTTAATTGGAGGAAAAATACCATCTTACTGATATTATTCAGTGCATAGTCAGACCTAACATATAATGCAAACCTCTTCATTTGGAGAGGGGAACAGCACAAGACAGCAGTCATTATCACAGAACAACCATGAGTCAATTAACTCCACAATTGATTAATCTGTGCATTTTTAATTGGGTTCAATTATGCCAAGATTTGCCATGGCTAATTGAACTTATTTCCTGCGGCAATGAAGCAAACAGAAATGGGGGGAAAAAGAGAAAAGAGAAAACATACTGTACATTGTAGTGCAAATTTACCTGAGCCAAAGAATGATACCTGCGAAGCAGCCAGATCACTAACAGCATGAAAATGCTGTGGAGAGAGAAGAAAGACAACAGTGAGATGTTTCTTGCTAACTGCAACGATTTGAGCAGAACAGGCCAACTGCTGTTCTAATGATGATATACTGTCTTACTGCACATAAATACATCATAACAACTCCAGCCCTCATCCCTACATGCTCTCTTATAACCTTTATTCTAACGGCTGCTTTAGCTTGTACCAAGATCACTGACCATTACAGCATTACAACGCCTGTTAAGACTGAAAGTAATGAAACCTGCGTTAGTGTCACAAACCTGCCAAAGACCTGCTTAGCAACATTTGATGGACCAAAAAAGCACAGCTAAATGTTGAAGCCCAAAGGTAACGATGCAATTCATCAAATGGCCACTAGATATCACTTCTGACATCACAACTCAATATTGAAACAATGGGAAAACCTCCAATGACTTCTTTGAAATTATAAATAATTTTTTCCCAGAAGACATTAGGGTCCCAACAAACTAATTTCCCCAGTTTTGTTCTGAAAAAGTATTGTTCAATTAAACTGATATATTGTACTACAGTCTATAGCCCTGGGTCTGAGTTGGAGAAACTTTGAGATGAATAATTTAGTTTCATTAGGAAACAACATTTTAAACAAAAATCTTAAGCGCCAACGCTGCAGTTACGTCTACAGTACCACTTTTTATGAATGGATATAGACTTAAACTTTCTAGACATTAGACATAAATTGGACAGGGTGCAGCAAATTAGCCTGGCATCGCCAGACCAGAGCAAATAAAGCATGAGCTCGCAGATTCATCTGGTTCCCAGGCTAGCGGCCAATACAACAAAATGTAAACCACAGCTTCTAAAATGAACAAAGACATTACTACGGAGGGACTGTTTGAGGGTCACATTAGTTTGCTTGAGACTTTACAAGGACCCTTGTTCCACCACCCACCCTGAAAACACACCTTACATCTATTACAGTTTGATGTTAACTCATGCTGAAACACTTTTCTAACAGTTCTACTCAGATATAAAGTCCAATGATTGATAGAACGTATATATCAGTGTATGAACAGTTCAACTATTTGGTGTTAAAGTCACGCGTTCAAGACAAAGTATCATTCGAGAAAGATATAATGAGAGGAAATATTTACCATCCTACTAAGGAGAAGGTTCCTGTGGCCCTTTTTACTGTTAAAATCACCACCTGTAAATAAGAAGCAATTGATTACTCTACAGCTCACGTCAATAAATAATAAAAGCAAAACATTAAAGTGTATAGTTGACATCTGCATTACAGACTGCAATGGTTTTGTTTTAAAAAAGCGCAGTGCAAACATATTGAGAAGTGCAATACAAATACTGTTCTGTCATCATTCTAATCATAAGCTTATAAATTACGGGTTGACAAGACTGTCATTTGTTCAAGCATGTCTTTTTGTGTACTTGTTAGCAAGCATGTGTACAGAAAGTATAATCATATGGAATCTGCACACACTTCAGGCAACCCGAGCATCTGAACTGCAAACATTTGCAATGTACGGACACCTAAGATGTCTAAGGTGTCACCTCCGCATTTCAACATGCAATAAAACGCAGACAGCTGTTAAATGACAGCAATTGTGCAAAGCAACATGCAAGCCGAAACTGATCTGTGAGCTACTCAGAGAGAAACGAGAAAGAGACCTAAGGAATGAAAAGAATGAGATATTGTTGCTGCGTCTTTCACGCACACAATGTCACACGGCTGTTTCCATGGAGGAGTTACAACACAAGCAGGCTTCAAGCAGTCTGATAATCACCTCTCCAAAAACACTGTTGCCCTATATAGAAAACAGGAAACAATCGGCAAAAAAGCCAGCAAATGTGACTGTTTTTATTAAATGTATGGAAGCGGATTTCAAGCTTTATCCAGTCATTTCCTTTTTACAGTAAGGTGCGCTTTCTGAATACACTTAAACTGCACAGAAAGGATTTGATTCACTAAGAGGGATAGATTACTGCCATTTTTTCTCTGAGGCCTTTTCCCAGTTTATTACTGTTTTAATTACATTTGAATGATGGCTCCCAACATGGAACTGGAGGAGTGTTAAAAAGGCTCAGACTCTGCACTTTGTTACAAATTGTTTCATAAATAGTGCATGAGTGATCTTGCTTTCGGAAAAAAGTTAATTATGCTATTTTTGGGATGGATTCTTCTCCTCGTGATATGTAAGTCACACAAACATCTGTATCATAGTTATTATCATGAGTTACCCTCTATATTCACCCCTACTTTACCAAAAACCATAAACTTAGTTAGGACAGCTTTATCAAATTAACAAAGATCTGACTGTTCACTTCAAATGTACAGTAATGTACAGCAGTAAGGCTGCAACCAACAACAATTTACTATTGATTAATCTGACAATGATTTTCTCGATTAATCATTTGGTCCATAAAATGTCAGCAAGTAGTTAAAAAAAAAAAAAAAAAAAAAAACACAATAGATCACAATTTCCAAAAGCTCTATGTGATGTCTTAAAATTGATTGTTTTGTCCGACCGACACTCCAAAACCTAAACATACTCAGTTTAATATCAGAAGAAAGAAAAGCAGCAAATCCTCACATTTAAGTGTCTGGAACTGGGAAATGTTTAGTATTTTTACTTGAAGAATTACTTCAGAGATTAGTCCATTATCAAAATACAGCTGATTATTTTTGCGTTTATTGACTAATCAATTAATGATTAATCGTTTCAGCTTTAAGTAATAGACCAGTGGTTCTCAAACTATGGTACGTTTACCACTGGTGGTAAGCGAGCTGGCTCTAGTGGTACGCGAAGAAATCTCTGAAATAACCTTTTAATAACTCAAATAATTTAAAAACATATAGCACTATCTAAATATATGTGTTTTTTAAAGGAAAATACTCAAATAGGTTTTGCATTTTCTGTAATATTTGGTTTCAAATTCTGCTATGTAGTCAGGTTCATACATGTAGTGCGCACATACCTCCATGATTAGTGACTAAAATGTGACGGCAAGATTGTAAACAGAGGTAAAATGCAGAAGGTAAAAACACTGGCTCCAAACAAGAACTATTAAAAAGAGAAGTGTGGATCAGGAGAACCACTTTGCACCAAATTAGTTTTGGTTCTTGAACCGGCTGCATTCATGATTCGGCAATAGTCAACAATAAAAAAATCTTCTTATTGGAATAAACCTGCCACTTGCATGAACTGTCTGTAGCTGAATAGGGTTGCAACTGAATATCCCAAGAGAAATAGTACAAGTAAGTCTTATTAACATCCAAACTGCTAACTAGACCTTTATAGTTTTTATCTTAATCCAGATTTATCAACCAAACTTAAATAGCTGGTATAGCTGTGAATGTAGGCCATCTGTATCTGGGTTAGATAGACAGTGAACAGGACTCTGTGATTGATTACTTTCAGTTATGAGTGATAACTTGTTGTTAAAGGAGAGATTAGAGTTGGGCTCTAGGCATGACAGCATAACTACAGCATTCTTCCCTTAATGTAGTTAGACCAAGAGAATGGACGCTGACATGGAGCCCAATGCTGCTGACACGCAAAGGTTACAGCTACTCACATTTACACATTCACCACACTGGTGAACTAATCTGCCCGTATGTCGGTCATATTTGAGCGGGGGGGAAAAACAATTGATTGGAGCCAGGTACTTCCTAACTGGGTGATTGTGAAGATAAGGGAACTATTAAAAGGTTTATCATCCTCTCTCAAACCAGTCCAGGGTGTAGACTCAACCACAACAATCTGTAAATTGTTGTAAAGTGTTCCTGTTGGTGTGAACAAAATAGCAGGAACACCTTAGAGTAAAATGCAATCAAACATACCATTACAAAGCATTCTCCATTTAGCTGATGCTTCTATCCAGAGCAACGTACAATAAGTCCATTCAAACTTAATTGGAACAAGAGCTAGTTATCATCAAAAAAACTGCATCCCACCCAAACAAAGAGCGCGTTAAATGATAGAGTAGTGAACTGACACGTAGGGGGGTGTGGCAGAGGTCAAGTACCAGGCGGGCGAAAGCATGCTTTATGAGCTGCAGAGGTCTGGTGGTGGACAGAGAGACTCCAGCGAGGGAGGAGTTGCAGTAACAGAGGCAGGAGGTGACAAGCAACTGAATGAGCCCTAGGCTATCGCTCTGGTGAGGGAGGAGCAAATAGTCCTGATATTATACAGGAAGAATATACAGGAACAGGTTACTGCTGCTCAAACCCTGCTCTTAAAAATGACAGTATAGTTAAAACCTCTCAGACACAGACTCAAACGGCTGAACACAATGAGAATCACACATTTGGGTATTGATTCCCAGGTAACTAAACTGGACCGGCTTAGTGTTGTACTGTGGTTTTCAGATGTATTCATATCATTTACTTTAGTAGACGTAGCAACACCACACTATAATACAAGTCTTGCATTAAAAAAAAAAAAAAAAAAACAAGTAATAAGTATTAGCGGCATAATATACTTAAATTAGCTTAAGTAAAAGTATTCAGTATACAAGATAGTCCCTGTCAGTATTATGTTATTACATTACTGTGATTATATGTAATCATATATAGTTATATGTACTTTAATGTTGTAGAAGGCAGGGAAAGCATTGACTGCTTTATACACTGCTGGGTAGTTTAATCTATAACAATAGATTGTATTTATTTTGCTTGTTAAATCTTAATCTGCAACTAGTAACTAGTAACAAGAGCTGTTAAATAGATATAGTGGAGTAAAGGTATAAAATAACATACAGTACAATTCAGAATTGTACTTAAATAGAGAAACTGAGAAACATTGATGTTGTGGTGCTTTTGTTGTTGAGTTGCTTCCTTTCTCATTCAGCTGGTTCACTTATCAGTTCAAGATAAGAAACTAAATATTCACTCATTTATATTATCAATAACAAACAGACTCTTTCCACATGCACGTCTGTGGCTAAAATCCGACATAGCGTTGGTTTATTATTGAGGAACAGTAGTTTTATTAAGTATAAATATCAACAGCTAGAAGACACAAAGCTCAGCTCAGTTAGCTCATCAGACACACCTGAGTAATGTTAGCTCTCCATTAGCAGTAAAGCTAGTTTAGTGGGCTGTTTTAATTAGTTAATAACGTTAATATACGGAAGGCCAATTAATACAGCTAGCATGTTTGATAACTGACGGCTCAGTTGTACCGTTACACTTTAATATTGGGAACCCTGACCTCCATTAGTCAACTAATCAATCAATCAATCACTAATAATGTGGAGTAAATAATTAGCACTCGCAGCCCCCCACAGTGAAACGTTGTGGAGCTAACTAGCCAATTAGCTAGAAAGCTAAAAGTGACGTTACTTACGCATCGATAGTCTTCTGAATCTGTATTAAAAAATACGCAGCGTGAATCGTTACTCATTGGCTTTGGGTTTTCACTGTCCATTTTAAGTCACAATGATTTTGAGATGATTTCGTTCCACTGTGTTTTTGTTTTGCTGTAGCTTTTCTAGTGCTTCCTGTTTCTACGGTGCGCTCTGAGGGACAAACAGTGCCGCTGACCGCTCCGAATCACCGACAGTATACTTTGACTTGTCCATTAAAACTGTACGATGTGACGTTTTACAGTACATCTCTGTTGTTCTTCACTTTATTGAGAATAAACAACACTTTAGGAGTGAGTAATATCCCATCCCATATTTGTGGGGGGTTTCAGTGTATTTCAGTCAGTAGGGTACTGTCAATATTTGTGGTACTTAAGCTATACTTTAAATAGATATTTCCTTTTACTAATACTTATACTCCACTACAGCTCAAAGGGGGATATTGTACTTTTTACTCCACTACATTTTCCAACTATGATATCTATAGTTCTTTATTTTGTCAATTAAAATTTTACATACAACATATGTAGAGTCTATAAAACATGATGTATTGTTACATGTTAAACAGTATATAAGGTGGCTGAATTTAGTTTTACTTCCACCAGTTGTAACAGTAAATTCCTCTCACGTGTCAATGTGTCAGTAACACTTTTATTGTTGATACTTTAATTATTTATGCAAAACATAATTACCTACCTTTACTTAAGTAAGATTTTGCATGCACAACCTTTACTTGTAAGGTGGTAATTTTACACTTTGGTATTGTATTCAGGTAAAGGAATGCCTCTTCCACCACTGATATCAGGAAATCAACTTTCCTGTGAAACACTAGTCAAAAACTGCAAAAATCCTTGTGTTTACAGCTCTCATTAGTGATCTCATTATTAGAAATACTAATAAAATGGCCTCATTATAGCCTCTGGAAGAAGTTCTGGCATCCTTGGTAGATTACACCAACAGTGTTTTGAGACTGATACTACACATGGGATGGTTAGAGCACTTCAGTGATAGCCTCTGGCATTTCCCTTTAGGTTAATGATAAGGTTATCTCAGTGGATGTTTTTAGAAAACAGCAATCTCATTTACAGTCAGATGCAGAAAGACATTTACCTTTGTCCTAAATGTAGACAGCCGTGGCTGCACTGCCTGTAAACAGCCTGAATCAGAAAAGAAAGAATGTTCAAGGTGTGTCTCTTTGTTTGAGGAGCTTTGCTCCCTTTGTAAGACTTTATCTGATTTCCAACAGTTTGTTTCATGTGTATCTGAAAAGAGACAGACAGGACAATATTCAGATTAATTCATTTTGTGAAATTATTGGTCATAGTATTGACTGAAAGTTGTGACAATTGTTCACAGAATGGATCCTATTTCAACAATTATCTGCAGAAATCTTACATACAGCTGTTCTCCAAATTTTAACATTTTGAAGTATAAGTGTATAATATTAGGCTACATCTAACATCAACAACATAGTGTGATGTGTCTGCACTGGCATGTGCAGTGAGGTCTGTTAAAGGCACTTTCTGTTTCCTCTGCTATTGTCTTTTCATTGAGAAGAGACAAATTAATATCATCAAGAAGAGATTTTTGCATGCATTGTATGTGTTTGTGTGTGTGTGTGTGTGTGTGTGTGTGTGTGTGTGTGTGTGTGTGTGTGTGTGTGTGTGTAAGAGAGAGAGAGAGAGAGAGAGAGAGGGAGAGAAAGAGAATGACAGTGGAAAGTGGGTGTGCACCCTATTGACCTATTGTGACACTGAAACTCCAGCTGCACCCAATTCCCTCAGTGCCCTTTGAGGCTGTCACTGTCAGTTACTCAAACAACAATGAAGGAAATATGTTATTTCTTTTTTCCTGCTGGCACAGTATTACATAACACAATAAGTGCATGTGTGTGCATATATCTTTATTCTAAATCTATACAAATGTAAAAAAAAGAAGAAGAAAAAAGTATATATATAGAATACTTGTAATTGTCATATGTATCCCCAGACTGCAGGATAATGTTTGAAACTGATTCTGCACTGTATGCTGGGAAATATCCCCTCCAGACTACGAGATTGAGAGACATGAAAGCTCGGCTTTTGTGTTCAAAATGGCCTTATACAGGTTTCATTATCGTACAAACAATTCCTGAAGCTATTTAGTTTCAGAAGTCAGAGGTCAGGTAGGTCAAGATGTTGAAGCTTAACAGCTTAATTCCTCAACCTGCAGGCAATTTTGGATGCACCTCGCCCACTTTGAGTGAAACTGTATTATACCTAAGCAAAATGTAAATTCTAACAAATCCGTTTTTTTTTTTCACTTTATGAAATGATGCATAAGCTGCCATTCCCATTATAGAGTTTGGTTGAAATTATCCACTTCTGAAGCAAAGTATCTGGATGGATGAATGGATGATTTGGGGGGCAGTTAAACATAATCTTAACTACATTTCTTGAACAGCATCCAGTTGACAGTAGGAGGGCAGCAGTTGAGACAGACTCTTTGCAGTGTTTATATGTTGTCTATGATTGGATAACGTTGCAAGAAATTTCACCTGTTTTTTAAGATGGGGAGACATTTGGAGAAATTAATGTTTCTGTTCTGATGCTTTTATGTTTTGTCCAACATTTCTCAGTTTATACTGTACACCGTGGTCCTTTTTTTTAATTACCGCTCACATCTGATTGTCAGGCTTCACGGTTCCAGCTAATTTTCAGCTATACTTTCATGTCAAACACTTGAGCACAAAGAAACATAAAAATGCTCAAAGATGTTTTATACCACACAAGATGTATAAAATATGCTTTTTGACAAAGCACTGACGAGTCAGGTATTCCCTGTGAAGAATAGGGATAAGCAGAAACCAATGAATTGGACATGTTTTGGTTGTCTGAATAGGCCAAACTCATTTTTGTGTCTGCATTCATGAAAGAAATAATACATAACAAAGGAAGTAAGTTTATAAAAAAGTTTATTTTAGAAACAAATATTATCTGTACAAAAAGAAGGCGCATACAAAAGCATTCGCTAATTTCAACAGATGGACGTCTCCATCAATACCATGACAGTAGCAAATAAATGACAATAACAACAAAGCATCTCGTGGAACCCCTCATTGTTCCCTATGCAGATGAATTATCAGCTGATTCTGGTTCACTGACCATGTAGGACATTAGGAGATCATAGGCAAGCCACGCAGTAAGCATCTGCCTCCTTCCAATGTAAGCACAATTTAAAGACACAGACATGTTGTTGGATATGAAGGAGCATTGGTCATACACAGACATATACATCTGAACACACTGACATCATCAGCATCACATAGAGGAAGCTAAATCTTCTATCAGTATCCCCCTTCTGCTCAGAAGGGGCGGTTCAGACGACAGGTCTCCATAGTTCATGCAGCCCACTTCTTCTCCAACTTTGAAATAACATTTGGCTCTCAAACATACAGTGTGAGGTAATAAATTACACATTAAATATAGGTTTAAATATGTTTCATTTGTGTGTCACAGCTGAATGCATGATGTGTGTAACACTTTGGCGTGCAAAACATATGGGTTTGGTGTTACACAAATGCTTGCTTCAGGATCAACACATCTACAGTCAATAATACCACAGAATAGACCGACACCATGTTGGCCTAAAGAGAGAAATAAGCTGCCCATTCGTCCACCATTCAAACGTTTCTCCGTTAATTTCATCAGTAGTAGTAGCAGCAGCAGCAAACGAGACATATTGAGAGAAGTCAGACCAACCAGTCTAATAAAGAAATCTGGGCTTTCAGTTTGTGTGGGCTCTGTGAGCTTACTGGCCCCATCCTCCGATTCCAATCTCCTGTTTGTAGCGCTTGGTGAGAGAGTTGGCCTGCAGCGTGAGCTTGGACAGCACCCCTTGCAGCCCGGTCAGGTGGTACTGGAACTGCGTCTTCAAATCCTCGTCCTCCTCCTCCTCGTCCTCCTCGGATGACAGCGATGCGGAGGAGGAGGTGGATGCGGACGAGTTCATGCGGGTGATCTTCATGCTCTCTTTGCGCCTCTCGTCGGCCGCGGCGCACCTGACGCCCCACTCGATGTCCATGCGGATGGACTTGAGCAGCTGGTAGTAGCTGTACATGTCCCCCTCTTCCTCGACCGACTTCAGGGCGCTCATCTCCCTGTCCTCCTCCAGCGGGACGTCCCGCAGCAGGCTTGGCACCATGATGGTCTGGTCCATGTTATTGACGGCGCCGATGAAGCGGTCCATGGCGTTGAAGAGGGAGTTCTTCTGCTTGGGGGTTTCTAGGAGCTGCATCATCATGTTGGCGAGAGTTGTGAGAGAAATGGAAGCGAAGAATCGAGTTGGTTGTCTTGTTTGTTTCTCCTCAGTGAGTGCCCTGCTTTAATTCCGGGCTGATCGGCTTAAAGGAGCGTCTGCTTGTCTGTAGTGCTGCAGAGGGGATTGGCTGTCCTGGAAATCAAGCGGTTGAGTTTCCCCCTTTGATGAGTGTTAGCGTCCTTTTCTCGTGGTATCTGGTCTGTGGGCAGACGGGTGCGCACTTATATACAGATGCAGGTTTCGAGCTTTAAAGGCGGTCCCACACACAACCTGTTTGGCAAGTTCTTTCACTGCAGCTGTAACCGGACCCAATGACCTGTAATAGCACAGCAGAGATGCTCGGCACACTTTCTAGAAGAGGAGTGGCTTCATGTTGACAGTTAGGGGTAAATCCAACTTCACAGAACTTCTGGAGAAACACAAACAGGATTTCTTTAAGCTGAACACGCCAAACGCGTTACCGTGCGTATATACGCACAGCAGCTAAAGGTTCACTGGTCAACACTTTGTCGTCCCAAACTTTACTCACCCAGAAATACTGTGTCCAGAGTTTATGATTTCTCTTCCGGTAAGATAATGACTGATATTACATCACCATTCACATTCTGTTCCGATGAGCCAGACAGGAAGACACAGGGTGAGGCTCGACTGAGCGGACCGGTTTCATGAATATTCATTGAGCAAGCCATCAGCCCACTGCTCGGATCTCCACTGAAACCAATCAGATGACCATGTTTCTTTCTGAGGCGGGACAAATGGATGTTTGACCAATGACGAGGCCACAGTGTTGAATGGCTCACGTCTCGACAACAGAGGCAACACGTGGTCGAGCAACCAAGTTTTTTTTTATTTATTTTT